AAAAGCTTCGGAGTTGGGTTTATATTTGTATTGATTATTCAGTATATAGTATGTACAAAAGTAAGAATGTTTGCATGTTGAATAAATTTGACCTTTTGAGGAGCAGGGTGTGTCATCTTGCATTTGCTCAAGTGATCATTTGAACACAAGGTTTTTATTGAGTTACTAGTGACTAGGTGATTTCCTGTTATATATCTCAGTCACAGACACTGTAGATGAGATAAGGATAGAGTAGCCCAGAGTAATGAGGGTTGAGGCACATAGTAACTTATCTTAAAAGAGGATGCACACTGTTTTGGAGACTGAATATGTTCTGAATGTGTTAGTGTTCAACAGTTGTTAACAATAGGGGATATCTTCTACAATTCTGTTGCTAACCATTGTTTGGCATGAGCTACCTCCACTTGTGGGTCCCACTCACCTGTGATGTCATCCTCAACCTGCTGCACTTCACTCTTGTTCTTGTACACAAGTCTCTGGCATCATGCTTCTGCTTTGCAAAGACTAAGAGACTGGCTATCCCAGACCGAGTGACTGATCACCTTAAAGCACCTCTCCATATACTGTCTTTATGGTAATTACCTCTGTATTCAACTGATGATGCCTGCTGTGCAGCCAAAGAAGTTTTGTCAATAAATATACCCAAGTGTAGCATTTGTGTTCTACTCAACAGGAGGGGTGTGCTAGTCACTTTTGCTGGTATCAGTATTATCCTAAAGGTGAACATCGACATCATTGTCTATTGGCAAAATTTGACAGTATCAGCAAAAAATTTGGTATCGCCTCATCGCTAAACAGAATTTAGTCGACAATATGACGTAGTTTACTACTTATGATTACATTTATAGTCATTTGGGATGGTATCCCTCCCACTAAGGCAGGGTGACCCAAAAAAGAAACTCGCCATGATTCACACAGTCAGTTTTTGCAGAGGTGCACAGATATGACAGTTCAGATGTCACTAAACAGCAAATATTCCAAACTCCTCCTTTAAAGTGCAGGCATTGCACTTCCCACCTCCAGGACTCGAGTCCAGCTAACCTGTTTTCCTGAATCCCTTCACGAAATATTACCTTGCTCACAAATATGGTTTTTGGGACTTCACAGCTCGCCACTTCCCAAAATCAATTAGTCTCCGCTCCTGTCTAACACACACACGTGCCTGCTGTATGTCCAGGCCTCTTGCACACAACCTCTTTTATCCTCTCCCTCCATCCTTTCCTAGGGTGACTTCTACTCCTCCTCCTCCTCCTCCTCCCCTCCCGTACAGATTTATACACCCTCTAAGTCATCCTGTTTTGCTCCATCCTCTTTAAATAACCAAACCTTTTCAACAACCCCCTCTTCAACCCTCTGAATAATATTTTTAGTAACTCCACACCTAATTTCCACGTGACGAATTCTCTGCACAATATTTAAGCCACACATTGCCCTTAGACACGACATGTCCACTGCTGCCAGCCTCCTCCTTGCTGCAACATTTACAACCCATGCCTCACACCCATATAATAGTGTTGGTACTGCCATACTCTCACACATTCCCTTCTTTGCCTCTATGGATAACGTTTTTTTGTTTCCACAGATACCTCAATGCACCACCCACCTTTTTCCTTCATCGATTATATGGTTAGCCTTGTCCTTCATAAACCCATCCTCTGACAAGTCTACAACCAAATATCTGAACACATTCACTTCTTCCATAGTCCCTCCTTCCCTCCACTGTGATATCAAATTTTTCTTTACCCAACTCATTTGATACCCTTTTCACCTTGCTCTTACTTATGTTCACTTTCAACTCTCTTCCTTTACACACCCATATAGGGCTATTTGGTCATTGGTATAAGCTGTCATACAAGATTGTATTTGTACATTTAGGATACTCCCACCATACAAGTCTGCATTTACTGTCACTTTTACTGTTACTTAAATTTACATTTACATTTACTGTTACTTAAATTACTAAATTACTTGGTATGTCTTCATGTGTACATTAACAATGAAAGTGCCCCAGACAAAATAGGCTGAATTTGATGTATTTTTGGTGATAATTATAAAAATTTAGTATGTACTTGCGTATATTTTTCTTTGTAATATATTTAATGTTTTTTTTTTTATGGTCTCTGGCACTTGCTTATTGACTTGCAGAAATGTTATGGTTGAAGATGTGACATGTTGCAGAATAAACTTTTATTGGCACACCACTTTGCTCTGGAGAGAACTTTATCAAGTTGAAAGCCCATGGTTATGCGAAGAATTTGATGAAACTCTACATAGTGGAAGGTTGCAATTAAAGTTCATTCTGCAACATGTCGCCTTCCTTCACTACCGTCAGCAGCATGCCATTTGTACCAAACTGTTATATTTATTTCCCGTATTGTGTTTTCACAATGTATCATTGTCATAACTTATGACATTATTTCTTTTATCTCTTTCATGCACTGGATGCTGCCTTGTACAGAGAGTAAGTTGCATGATTCTTGTATTTGCCATGGAAAAGTTTTCTTTTTCTGTTCTCTTGTTTGTCTTAATTCCGCACACAAGTCGCATGCATCCTAGCATCTTGACAACTAGAAAAAAAAAAAATTCTTGCCTCAATTTTCTAACGATAGTGCTTAAACAATTGCTCGTTAATGTATGGTGAAGAAACTACCCTAGTGTTATGTCGCATATGTGGATAAAATGTATTGGTGAAATCAGCAACTCAAGACCCCAATATTGTTAATTATTTTGGGAATTATTTGTGGGAGAGGAGTATGTGTGATTGGTTGTGATCGTTTTTTTTGTGGTTGGTTGGTGGTTTGTGGTTGGTTGGTTGGTTGTTTGTGGTTGTTCGTGATTATGATTGGTTGTGATTGACCTTTGACTAAATTATTATAATTGACTGTGATTGGCTATTTGGTATTTAGAAGAGCAGAGCTCTCCCTGTGGTGTCACATCTTGATTTTTTTTTTCTTAAAGAACACACTACCTCTTGGATCCTATTTCAGCATTTCATTTGGCTCCTTCCCCTCGGAAAAAAAAAATGCATTCATTGAATAGTTGTCTTCCCAGAGGTGTGCAGACATCACAGTTCAAATGACCTTCTGAACTGCTACATTCCTGTCACTCCCTCAGAATGCAATGCTGATTTGGGAAGACCTTTTTTTTTTTTTTTTTTTTTTTTTTAAGTGGTTAGCCCTGCTAATGATGCTAACAGATTCTTCCTTTTGTATTGTTTTTTGATGTGGTTTTAACATCACCTCTTTTTGTCCTGTCTATTTTCGAAGACATTTTTTTGTTTTCAAGCTTTCTTTGTAATTCATATTTCTTCATTCTTGGAGTTATTTGTGGCATATCATTTAGCTTTTTCTTTGTTTACAGTATCTTTGTTTGGTAAGTATAACTAATTATGGTCTAACACATTTTGAGTTTAGTTTACCTTTGCATGTGTTCAGCATCAAAGTTTCAACTAGGGTAGACTTCTGAGTTCGTACTCAGGTCACCAATTTATCCTCTTGTATTCAAAGTGCCACAGATTTTCCATAGATGGGAGTTAACATCTCATTGGTTGTCAGGGTTTGCATTAACTATTGATGCAAATACGTTTTCTGTCCATAAATTGTAATTTATTTATTTATTTATTTTTATTTTTTTTTTAAGATTTGCTTGCCCACAGAATGGGTATGGGGTACATAATAAAGATATTAAACTAAACTAACACTGGCCGTCTCCCTAGTTTTTTTTTTTTTTTTTTTTTAACAAGTCAGCTGTCTCCCACCAAGGCAGGGTGACCCAAAAAGAAAGAAAATCCCCAAAAAGAAAATACTTTCATCATTCAACACTCACCTCACTCACACATAATCACTGTTTTTGCAGAGGTGCTCAGAATACAACAGTTTAGAAGTATATAAGTATAAAGATGCACAACATATCCTTCCAAACTGCCAATATCTCAAACCCCTCCTTTAAAGTGCAGGTATGGTCACCAAAAAAACACACATTCACCGTCATTCATTCAGATGCTGTCTTGCCAAAGATGTGTTGACATCACAGTTCAGATGAGGCTCCACCTTGGAGGAATGGTGATGTAGTTCAGAGGGTTATTTGAATTGTGATGTCTGCATACACACCTTTGGCAAGATAGATTTTGAATGAATGAATAATTTTTTTTTTTTCCTCACCTACCTTGTTGAGATATGTATGTTAAAAAAAAAATGTAGTGCTGTTTATGAAATTGCTCAGTGTCCAGAATATCTTGCTGCCAATTTTGTCAAGACTGAGAACCAAAGCAATCATAGTACTAGAGGGAGAGAGCACAACTTTGTAGTACCCAGGCTTAAAACACCTTTTATTGTACATCAATAAAGAAATGGAACAGATTACTTGCACATGTCAAAGCCAGTCATAGCATGAACCAGTTCAAGAAGAGTGCCAAAAGGTCTGATGAATGTAGTGACAGAAAGGGAGGAGAATGATTTTTTATTTTTTTTATCTAATGCATTTGAATATAACTTATTTTACCTTATTCCTAGTATATCTCCTTTATAGTATAATAAGATATGTATTATCTCCTTTATAGTGTAATAATAAGGAATTAAAAGGACCCCAATGGAAACTGACTGTTTTTTGGGGGTTATCTTAGGTTCTCTACACATATGCTATGTATGATAATCTATAACTGTATTTGTGTATACCTGAGTAAACTACTTACTTTACTTATAAATTAATTATGTATGAATGAATAAAATGGACATAGTGCAATACTTTTTTCACTTGTGTAACAATACTGATAATGTATTCTAATTATAAATGGTATACAGTTCTTATTTCTCTTGTGCTTCATGAAGCCTAAATCAATATTAACCTACTAATATTTTGTTAAACTGCGCATTCTACTGCGTATAGCATTGGCTAAAAAAAATGCTTGGCAAATTACTATGTTATGCTTTATTTTATCCTTAATATGATGGTACTGTATCATCAAATGGTTGTAATTTAAGTCTAATCTTTTTCTTCAACAGGATGGGTATGGTGGATACATTGCGTCTTATCTACAAGGAGAATGGCATTACTCGAGGTTTGTATAGAGGAATGAGCATTAATTATATGCGAGCAATTCCAATGGTGGCCGTCTCCTTTTCAACATATGAAATTACAAAGCAAATGTTAGGCCTAGATACTGGACTTAGTATCAAGGCTGGGTAGTTTTCATTCTATATTAGCATTCAAGTGCACTTTTTGAAGGGACATAAAGTAGGGCCTCAACTTAAGATGTTAATTCCTTTTTTGAAGTCATTGTTAGTGTTTGATACTCAGAACATGTTTGCCATAGATACCAATGTTGTAATTGAAGATGAGCTCTTGAGCTTTAAAATTCCTTTTCTACTTTCATTTATTTTTTTATTTGAGGCTGTTTACCAAATAGTTAAATCATTACTGTTTTTTCCACATACCAATAATATTAAACATTGTTTAATTTACTATACAGTAAGTATTTATTAATCGGAATGGAGTTTGTGTCAGAGATTTAATAATATGAGTGAACAAACACTAGGACACATTTATTAGAAAGTGTCTGTCCTGGAACCTTGATTACTTCTAACATAGAAGTTGAAAATAACAGTATATATAGGCAGAAAGTTGAGTATGAGTGACACTGACCTGAAAAATGCAATTTGGACTATTTGAGATGTCAGATAGTGAGGTCACATGATTCCTGTGTCACATAAGTTCAGCTTTACCTGGTTGAGTATCATATATGCCAGTGTTTTTCAAAAATACTGGCATATATGATGCTCAACCAGGCAAAACTCAGCCTATCTAACAAAGCAGGAATCATTTGACTTCATTGTCTACCTGACCTCATCCCAAATAAGTCTTGCATTTTTCAGGTCACTGTGTGTCACACTCCACTTTCTGCCTATATATGCTGCTATTTTTCAGCCTCTGTGTTGGAAGTGATCAAGGTCCCAGGACCAAAAAGCTTAATGATAAATGCCCTAGTGTTCTTTTGCCTGTCCTTTAAAATCAATTTATTGGTGTCAGTTACCAATGTTTATACCACCTGTCAGAGGAAGAGAGGGTGAGATACAGAAAGAAGAGGGAAGGGGAAGGAATGGAGTAGGGTATGTAGTGTGGGAAGGTAGTGGTGAATATAATTGTGTGAGGGTTATAGCATAAGGTACCCACAGCTTGCCCACTGACCATATCCAGCTGCCACTCGGTGTACAGTAATTATTTAATCTTACAGATCTTGACCCATCTCTACTAAAAAAAAAAATCTAACATTTTACATGCATAAAAAGATTTTCTTATAAACTGAGACTTATTTTTATTAAAATGGCAATTTTGCAGTGTATTTTTGTACGTTTTTTTATGGTTGTATTCAAAGTGTCTTGGTCTCAATTGATAGAATGGAAGATATATTACAGAAATAGAGATGATTTTGATTGGTTTTAGTACCGAAAATAGCTTGAAATTGAGCTCAAAGTAGCACAACCGTTCAGTTTTTGCCAATGTTCAAGAGTAAACAAATGACATCACTCGTCTAATTCACGTCGGCTGGTATTATTTATACAGTTATCAAAATATTGCATAACAGTAAATCTATTTTTTGGTGTGAATAAAAATTCATTATGTGAATAAAAAATCAAAGTGGAATTTATCTATAAAGCCTGGAAACATAACTAATAAACAAAGAAAATGTTATTTTAGTTCCAGGAATGCCTGCATTGTTTATTCAGGACCCTATTTTGAAATTGGAATATTTTGAACTTTGTGTGAAATTCGCCAAATTACCAATTTCCAATAATCTTATTGGGTAGTTGATTTGGCGATTTCTCATGCACAATCGATAAAATAGAAGTAATACTAGCAAAATAGCTAAAAATTTGGTCGACTGGAATAATATAATTGGCCTGAAATGGGAGTCAGTGGGCAAAATCGCTGATACGTAAATATCACTGATGCAGCAAAATCTGGGAGAGTGTAATTTCATCAGTTTTCCTGTCAAATTTCGTACTTTTTATTACCTTCAGAAAGATTCTCTACCATTTCATAAGAAAAAAATAACATTTCTTTTGAAAATTCTTGGACCCTGTAGACAAGTTTCAGATCAGGGGTCTGGACCCAGAAAGGGTTAAATCTATGGTTCTTGACCAGTCTGTACCCCCACATAATTTCTCTATACATGCATAAAGTGAACATCCACAAAGTATTAATAAATTTGGTAAAAAGAAAATTGTATGTTTTGCATAATTTGTTTGAATATTTGCAATACAGGTACTTAATTTTAACTACAAATGAGTTTTGTAAGTAATTAGTAAGTACTAAGGTCATGCGCAAGATGCAGATCACAGTGTGGTAAATTGGGGCCCTACTGTATTTATAATTAGGGATTTGGACTTTTATTTGATAAATAGAAATAATTCCTAGACAATTTTATGTATAAAATTTCATATAACTTACGTTGTTATAAGTAAATTCTTGCCAGATGTATAGTTAAGTACTGTATAGAGACTCAAGAAATATATAATTAATCTTTGCTTTCTGAAAGCAAGAGACTTTTGTATAGGTAATGGTGAGTCACTTAGTATTAATACATTCATGGGACAGTGTTAAATTTTACGGGTCATACAGCTCCTGAGAATGGGAGGCAATCAGGTTGGTTCCAAGGAAGGGGAAGATGGGTTCACATTCTTGAATCAAGAGCCCCCTTACTGGCATCAAGGCACTGTTTTTGAGAGATGAGAAGCATAATTTATCATGACATTAATTTTATTAGCACCAGATCCCTAAATCACATTCCAGGACCTGTCCCACATCACGTGTTACACTCTGTGTTAATTATGCACAAAGATCTGCTACTATGGTTGTATAGTTTGTAATATATATATAAATTTTTAATTTATTGTTGACATACGTTTATTAGATGTGTTAAAGGATTGATTGTCTAGAGACTCAAATCTCTTGTTTTCTCAAATACTGTTTTTCTAATAGATGAAATGTTATTTATTACTAAGAAAGAATCCATTCAGATGTATGTGTGGTGATGCTAGGCAGCTACAACCTATTTTCACCCATATTCCATTATTATTTAAGATGAATAAGTACATAAAGCCTGGTAAGAGATGAGGTATACAAATAAAGGGAATCAGTGGGTGAACACATTTAAAATAGTTCATTATACTGTAAGTTGTCAGTTTTATAAGCCAAAGATATAAAGCCACTTTATTATCTTTGATGAACAATGTAAAACAGGTGAACAACATGCATTGATGAATATATTTTTGTTATGACTGTAGTCTTAAGAATTTATTCTATTGACATAATATGTGTATGTTGGGAGACTTTTTAAGGAAATTTTATGGGTCTATTATAGGAACAAATTATAGAGTATAGTACTAGCATATATTTTAAGGTTACACTACTTTGGATAAGTAATGAATTTTAATTACATTCAGTTTGTGAATGTCTAAACAAACTTGATCTTTCTTTCGACGCACCGTCCGTATCCCACCAAGGTGGGGTGGCCCAGAAAGAAAAACAAAAGTGACACAAACTTGATATTGTTACATTAGTTATTAGTGAAAGTTTACATTTAGGAAAGAATGATTTGCATGTACTGGCCTTCCTTGCTTTGCACAAGTGACATATACTATGAGACTCCCACACAGAACAAACACGGTTACAGTACTGTAATGATTGAGATTGCTTCTTGCACATAGTATTGTTCCATTTTTACTATATAAATTGTTTTAAGTAATTTAAATTCCCAAAAATTTAAATTTTGTTCACATTTGTAATGATCATACATTTTAATGGGTTTTGAAGCATGATTAAGCTTACCTTAACAAGAGCAAAGCAGTTTGCCAACCTGCTGATTGGCTACCTCCACAGTAATTTTTTTTTTTTACTTAGCTATGAGTTATATCTGCTTAATTTTTTGCAGTAATAACGATAATGCAGTGCTGATAACAAGCTTCCAATAAAAGAGCAGTGGACTGCTTTATTAATATTGACTACCCTTAAGCAAGGGTGGGTGTCTTTTGTACCATATTGCTGTATTATATCTCAATATTTTCTCCTTACCACAAATCAAAAATCACATAAGAACAAGTCAGTTCATGTGCAGAAAAAATATTGTTCATATAAAAAGCAAATTGACACAGAGCAAAGTTCATGCCTGGGCAGCAAGATGGGTAGAGTGCAGTCAGACCTCCAGATTTGCAAGGGTTGTTCCTAGAAGTCCTGCAAATTTAGAATCTGCACAATCACAAAATTCTGTTTCACATAAACAGTCATATTTACTCATTTTGTGTTGGATTCCATATTTTTTAAATAGTATTACTCTAGTTATTACTGATATTAATAATGACCATAGAGATGTGGACACTGAAAATTAAGTACATTTTGAGTAAAATCTTTCAGCTTTCAATTTAGTGGTTACATGCCAAGTGAAAACAAAATTTGCATGACAAAAGCTGATAATTAAAAGTACTTGTGGAATTATTTTTTACCAAAAGCCTTCCAAGATAAATGTAAGTTAGAAAACCTAGAGACATGAGTTTGATTTCATATATGTAAATGTGCGAGAGAGTTCTTTTCTATTTCTATTTGTAGTTACAAATTAGGTCATGGTGTCCCACCTTTAGGGGTCAATTTGTTGCATAAGTGATCAGTAGACATTACTGCTGATTACTAAAGAATTCTGTGATCTGAACTGATGTGTGAAGTTACACTAATCTCTACAGTTTTGTTTACAAAGTATATGAGAGTAATTATTGATGGTTCTTAATTTTATATCCATTGTTGATAAGGGTATTATATTTTGTTTTTTACATTTTAAGGGAAAACATGTATATGCACATACACATATACATGCATGCATGAACAGGAAGGATGTGATAATGACATAAAATACTGAGAGGAATTGACAAGGTGAACAGGCACAAAATGTTTCAGAGATAGGATACAGGAACAAGGGGACACAACGTTGAAAACCAGATGGTTCATAGGGATATTAGGAGCATTTCTTCAGCCTTAGAATTGTCAGGAAGTGAAACAGTCTGGATTGTGAAGTAGTAGAGGCAGGATCCATATATAGCTTTAAGAAGAGATATGATAAAGCTGTTAGAGCTGGGAGAGAGTGGGCCTAGTAGCGGCCAGTAAAGAGGCAGGACCAGGAGCTGTGACTCAACCCCTGGAACAACATATAGGCGAGTACATACGTATATGTACACATGCACGTGTGACTGCTCTAAGTCTATTGACAAGTGCCTTTGATAACTACTAACTACTACAGATACACACAAAAAACTCTTGATTACTAATACATATGCACTCAGAACAACACATGCATTTACTCTCATCCACTTTAAGCACACTGGCCATCTTCCACTGAGGTAGGGTGACATTATAAAGAAATGCTTTCACCATTGCTCTCTCCATCAGTGTCTTGCCAGAGGAACGTAGATACTTGTCGGTTTTCAAAACCATTCATCACACGTAGATACCATTCAGATGCCCCTCTAAACTGCAGCATCCTCTCGCCCGTCTTTTAAGAGTGCAGGCACTGTACTTCCCACCTCCAGGGCTCCAGTCCAATTAACTGGTTTCCCTGAATCCCATTATAAATGTTACCTTGCTCACACTCCAACAGCACAGTCATAAAAACCACTTGTCTGTGCTCCTATCTAACACTCTGAAACACCCGCTGGATGTCCAAGCCCCTCGTGGACTCACTTGTATACCCACTTACTCGACCACACATGCATGTTTACCCAAATTATACATACATACACATTTACTCATTCACACACATGTATGTTTACCAAATTCATTGAGCATATACATCTTGCATACATCCGTACTCATAAGTCATAAACATTTACTCAACTTCACTCACATTCTAACATTTCTGTTAGGTGTAGTTAAACACTTGGCATTTTTATTTTTTAATGTTATTATTCATGTTATTACAGTATTTTCTTGTATATATCCCATTCACTGAATTTTTTACTAGGTAAAACTTTTTTTTTTTTTTTTTTTAGCCCCTACTAACAAATTGCACAACTTTTTATTATGCTCGATTTTAGACTTGGTTTTAATTTTTATATTTAGTCTTGCATGTATATTATCATTCTCCAAATTTCCAAACTACGAATTCTCTGCATTATATTCACACCACACATTGCCCTCAGACACGACATCTTCACTGCCTCCAGCCTTCTCCTCGTTGCAACGTTCATCACCTATGCTTCACACCCATACAAGTGTATCGGCACAACTATACTCTCATAAATTCCCCTCTTTGCTTCCAAGGACAAAGTTCTTTGTCTCCACAGACTCCTAAGTGCACCACTCGCCCATTTCCCCTTCATCAATTCTATGATTTACCTCATTCTTCATAGACCCATCTGGTGACATATCCACTCCTAAATATCTGAATACATTCACCTCCTCCATACTCTCTCCCTCCAATCTGATATCCAATCAATCATCACCTAATCTTTTTGTTATCCTCATAACCTTACTCTTTCCTATATTCACAATTTTTTTCTCTTACCCTACCAAATTCATCCACCAACCTCTGCAACTTCTCTTCAGAATCTCCCAAAAGCACAGTGTCATCAGCAAAGAGCAACTGTGACAACTCCCACTTTGTGTTTGATTCTCTATCTTTTAACTCCACACCTCTTGCCAAGACCCTTGCATTCACTTCTCTTAGGACAAGGTGTGGGATTACCAAAACTATTATCCAGAGGGCTGAGGAGGGGTTGAGGTGGTTCGGGCATGTAGAGAGAATGTAACAAGACAGAATGACTTCGAGAGTATAAATCTGTAGTGGAGGGAAGGCGGGGTAGGGGTCAGCCTAGAAAGGGTTGGAGGGAGGGGGTAAAGGAGGTTGTGTGCGCGAGGGGCTTGGACTTCCAGCAAGCGTGTGCGAGCGTATTTGATAGGAGTGAATGAAGACAAATGGTTTTTAATACTTGATGTGCTGTTGGAGTGTGAGCAAGGTAACATTTATGAAGGGATTCAGGGAAACCGGCAGGCTGGACTCGAGTCCTGGAGATGGGAAGTACAGTGTCTATACTCTGAAGGACGGGTGTTAATGTTGCAATTTTAAAACTAGTGGAAAGCACCCCTCTGGCAAGACAGTGATGGAGTGAATGATGAAAGTTTTTTTTTTTTTTTTTCGGGCCACCCTGCCTTGGTGCGAATCAGCTGATGTGTTAATAAAAAAAAAATGTATGTTATATACTTCATTAATTTTATACAAATTGTTTTTTCGTTAAATTTGAGCATTTGTCTGTACAGGTGCCCTGCGACTTATGATGGTTCAACTTTACTATGTTGCAAAAGCTATTACTACTTTGGAGGTGAAGCTTAAGATAATTACCCATCATGAAGGCAGAAAGTCTGTAACTTGTATATTGTTTTTACTTTTCAATACTGGTATTTATTTAGTAATTACACCTACCATCCGACTTACGACCTGCTCGACTTATGACCGTGTTTTTTATGCCAAATTTCTGGGAAATAAACAACTATTTGTGTTGTACAGTGTTTATCCTAAACCTTACAGTATAAAATACAGTACTAACAACATAAAAAGTAAAGTAAAACATGAAATACCAAAATAAAACAATAAAATAGTCATTACAAAAATGTTTTGTTGATATTCAGTAGTAAAGTTTGACTGATGACCGGTTTCTCGGAACCAAACTCGGTCGTAAGTCGGATGGTAGGTGTATTTGTTTATTCAGAGAGTTATTTACATATTTAGCATATATTTGTATTTGACTTAGCATATGTTCATATTTTCGACTTAGGTTCGTCAGAACATATTATTATTATTATAATAATCAAAAAGAAGCGCTAAGCCACAAGGGCTATACAGCTCGTCAGAACATAACCGCATTGTAAGTCGAGGAGCACCTGTTAATATGCAGCCTTTACTCACTTAACGATGGAGTTCCATTCCTAAGACTGTCGGTAAATGAATTTGTCACTAAGGAGCATACTATAATGGTGGTGGGTTTGTCGACCATCTTTGATATTGCTTTGTCACCTTTGCACCATTTATAACATTTTTAGTATATTTTCTAAATGTTTATACAGTAGTTTACTGTATATTGTAATACAGAATAGAGGAAATCAGCTCTAATATACATTATTTAGGTATACATACTGGTCCGAGAGCCCGTCGTAAGTCAGTCGTCAGTAAACTAATGCGTTGCTAAGTGAGGAGAGGCTGTACAGTAAAGGTAACATTTGTTAGAGCGCCGGCTTGCCATAGGTTCGAATCCTGTGTACTTTTTGAAGTGTTAAAATTCTGAGTCTGAGACAACATATTTGTAAGATTATTATTATTCCTTTTAATGCTCTGTGTAATAAGTTTTGCAAAAAATTACTATCACTTTTGTTACTTAACTATGAATTATATATATTTTTTTTTTTTTTTTGCAGTTTTAAATACAGTATTTTAATACCTATTGTTTTGTTTATGATCAGTGTGTGTGTGTGTGTGTGTGTGTGTGTGTGCGTGTGTGTGTGTCCTCTGAATCATAGATACTTTTCTGAGTCAGGGGCTGAGGGGGCCTACAGTGCATGCAAAAGAAATCATCGACTCTGTAAAAATTATCAACATTTTACATAAAAAAAAAAAATTAATAAAAGGAGAAATGATACAATGAACTGAAAACTTACTATACATGTATTTTTAACCTAATTTTGGGTCATTCTGCTGTTAGCTTTAATTACCTGTTTTATTCTTGAGAATGCTAATATCAGAGATTCTTGAAATAGTTATCTTTGCAACTCCAAATTTTCTTCAGTTCACTAGGGCCAAAATAGAAGCATTTTCTTCCATACTAAACTTACAGGACCCGTTACAATCACTGGTAACTAAAATATTAGCTGTCTAACAATCCAACAGGAAGTCCAAAATAGGGGTCAAAAGCACATGAAAATTCATCCTCCTATAGCGTCTCCAAGGTAAGTAAGTGAGAGAGATGAGCGGAATTCATTACTAGTATACATATGAGCTGCCTGACATAGTGGAACCTTGGTACTCTAACAGTTCGGCATTTGAACGCTTTGTTCGGTAAACAAATTGCTCAGTAGTCGACTGTTTGCTCGGCACTCGACCAAACAAACATGACCTGCCAGAACTTCACTGTAAACTGTTTCTTTGCATTTTTTATGTTATTTAAACAAATAAAAAAGTCACCACGGGGCCTAAGAGGGATTAGTGATAACCAACCAACCAAAAAGAAAATTAGTTAGGAAAAATTTGTTCTGTACTCAAACAGAACAGCACTTGAACAGCCTTCTGGAACCAATTAAGTTTGAGTGCCGAGGTTCCACTGTACAAGCATCATCAATAACATTGCCCATATGCTGTCTAGTGAACAGAGAAATGATAAAAAGTTGATATTTGTTGCTTTAGTTTGTTTTTTCTGCTCTTGTGATTTCTTTTGCAGGCACCATACCTGGAATACACCACCTACGTCTTACCTTATGCCTACTACTAGCTACAGTATAGTTTTACATGTGCTATTATGCTCAGTTCAGCCTCCACTTGCCCATCGTTTTAGTGTGCCGGTTCCAGCTGTAGGCTCTGCACCTGCTCAGCAGCAGTTATCAAGCAGAAGAATATCACTGAGTAAGGTGGCAGAGCTGTGGTCCCTCTTGGACCCCCAGTTTAGAATGGTATCTTTTAGAGCTCAGAATGTACCTTTCTGCTGTCTGGCCCACCAGTATTGAGAAATGGAGAAGGCAGCTGTCAAGTGAAAATGAAATCTGTGGGAAATTATCCATGAGATATGAGTGAGTGAGGTATGAGGAGTGACTTCTTCAGAAAAAGGTTGTTGAAAACTGTTATTGAGGATCATTGTATTCAGCCCAGGCAAAGCCAGAACCAGAAAGTGGTACTTCACCCAGCCATTTCACAGATACAGAAACGCTAAGAAAATTATATTCATGTGGAGGTATTTAACCCATAGGGGTCATACAGCACCTGGGAAATAGAAAATACTTGGACCATTATTTTCTCTTCAAGGGGAAGCTCCTTGGTGTGGTAAAGAGGCTCTTCCTCTGAGGAATTAGACCTTTTGGTCTCCTTCCTCAGACCGAACCTAATTACCCCCCTTCCCTATCCCATCCTCCCTTTTCCCTTTCTTCCCCTCCTCCCAATCTTTCTTTTTCTGTCCCATTAGTAGCCTCTGGGGTCCTTCCCTCTGGCATTAGTTTCTAGGTAGGGGGAAGTGTGCTGGGGTCCCTCGGAAGTAGTGTAGTTTGCTGTGGAATCTGGATCATCTGGAGGCGCCCTGCTCCCTTCCCGGATTTCCAGGAGGTAGAGCAGGGTGTCCTGCAGGTGACGGGTGTATCTCTGGAGGCTGCTTGTCGGTTCTGGGAGGTGGCAGCAGAGGAAGGTATGCTTTGTGGTGGGTGTCCGACCACCCTCTCTTTTGTCTACCGAGGTGGCTCAGTGGATGTGAGGTTGCCATCCAAGTGCCACTATCATGGAATCTTCATTGCATGAACCCCCTTCCCTCCTCCCAGGCCCCTTTTTGTTACTGCATCCTGTTCTGACCTGGCTTTATTGGACCATTCTCCAGACCCCCCCCCCCCTCCCACCATCTGCTAGTGATGCTTTGTCACTTGCTCCAGGTGCTGAGGCTCTGCCCGTTTTTTTCTAGTGCCTCTGCCGCTCGAACGTCTTTAACTATGCGTCTGACTTCCCCACATAGTGTGACAGTTTTCGGATCGCCCACCTGCCTCGGGTCAGGCTGCTTGCAGTCCTACGCCTAAACATTCCAGACCTTTTGCTGATAACGGTCTTTAGACTTCTGCTCATTCGACCCAGAAACTACCTACGTGATGCCCACTTCCTTTACACGCCATGTTTACAAGTGCACGGTGGACCAAATTATTTTCCTTGCAACCGACATCTCCAACTGATTATCTTTCAGACCACAGTATTGGTAAAGCTCTTATACAACACATTGGCCAAAATATATCCTTTCACGCTCTTCAGAGCAGTGTGTGCATCATTACTGTTCAGAATGCAGGCCAAGCTCGTGATCTTTCCCATCTTACTTCCATTGATAGCGTACCTGTCCCAGTTCACAAGCATGCTACTCTCAATTCTTGGAGTGGTATGGTGGTCTTATCACGTACCACTGTACAGTGATTTTCTGTCTTGCAGTGGTATTTTAGAGCAATTAGCCCTTCAGGACCTTCCAATTCTCAAAGTGGATACACATGTCCTGCCCGCTTATGGGCAGAGGTACTTTCCCAGTAACAATGCCCGCTTAACCTTTAACTGTTGTGAACTCCCGTCCTCCGTTTATATCACAGAACATTGCCTAGAGGTCCCTGAAGTGGTCCCCACACCCCAACAGTGCCACAGATCATGCCTATACACCTTTCAGTCTTCCCTCCACTTGTCTTAATTGCAATGAAACTTGCCCTTCTTTTTCCCACCAATGTCAGGTCTATCATAATGAACGTGAAATCTGTTGTCTTAAGGAGAGCGAAGGCCTTGTTTATGCTATGGCTCTCTCTCGACTCCACCTTCAGGGGAATCTTCCCTGTGTTCCTTATTCTTGAGTAGCTAGGAGACCTCTAACCTTGGCGATCCCCCCTCCCCACCTACCAGCTCCTCCAGTGCAGTGTCTTCCGGGGCCATCCGTCTAGTTCTTTTGTTGTGGTTGTACCCTCTGAAACCCCCACCTCCTTACCTCTTCCTACCTCTACTTCTCACCCACTAGTTTCTCAGTCTGCAAGGCCTTGCATGAATATCTACTGGAGAGGCACCCTGCTCCTCTGAGAATTGTCAGGTTCCATTATCGGTCAGCCACATTCTGTTAGACTGCCCACTTTATCAATGAGCATGCAGAATTTGCCTGCGTCGTCGTCTTCGCTCCGCTGCTCTCTCTTTACCTTCCCTTCTCGCTGATGGACCCACCTTTCATCCGGACTCTCTCATTGACTTTTTGACAACTGACTGACTTCACAAACTCTGATGATACCTTCAGCCCTTTCTACCTCGATCTCTTGCTACCCTCTACCCTGCACTATCCCCTGCCCCGCTGTTTTCTGTAACCTACTGATCGCCCCTCCCCCCTTCTGCCGCCAGATACCCTCGCTTCCTTTCCTACCCTGCAGCGCTGTATAGCCCTTGTGGCTTAGTGCTTCTTTTTGATTATAATATTATTTCCCCAGTCCCCTTTCAGCATCCTTCCTCTCCTGTTCCACCTCAGGACTCTTTTTGTCCCTGCTGGTGCATCTCTCCAGGTTCATACTCCCATCCGCTCTCAGACCCCTCTTGTTCCCTCCATAGTCTCCCCAATCTCTACTTGCTCTACCTTGCCTGTCTCTGAAGTCATGGTATCAGCAACTTCCTTGTCCGCTGAGACACTTAATGCTATCTCCGACTATATTGGGGAGGAGAAGCCCTCATTGGACACTGGTGTGCCTCCTGCCCCCTCTTATTTTTCACAACCCTTGCAGCAATCTTGTCCTTCACAGCATTCAACAGGGGATGAACGAAAGGCACCAAGGCATAAACGTAGACCTTTGATGATGAAGGGGATTAACTTAGTGGTAGGAGAAGCTGCAGAATAGAATTGGTCTTCATAATCCAGCTTGGACAAGACTAAGGTGGAATGCAAACAGAGGAGAGTCCAGAGTGACTCACGAAATCGTAATGACACGATTGCAAACAAACCATACCCCAGCCGGGATTGAACCCGCGGTCAGTCTCAAAACTCCAGCCCGTCGCGTTAGCCACTAGACCAGCTAGCCACAATAAGATTCGTCCAACTAGGTATATTTCTACACCATAGGAAGGTTAGCACAGGCACCACTGTGACCACAAATGCAAGTTTTTACAGACGAATCTCCAGCTAGCATGGCCGTGACGAGTTCGTCACGGCCACGCTAGCTGGAGATTCGTCTGTAAAAACTTGCATTTGTGGTCCCAGTGGTGCCTGTGCTAACCTTCCTATGGTGTAGAAATATACCTAGTTGGACGAATCTTATTGTAGCTAGCTGGTCTAGTGGCTAACACGACTGGCTGGAGTTTTGAGACTATGACCGCGGGTTCAATCCTGGCCGGGGTATAGAGAGTCCAGAGATTTGCACCCCATGAACGATGTGCAAGAATTTTCAGGAGATTCTGCAGACCATGGCAAGCAGCCTTCAAAGAGGAAATGTGCGGTTTCCATGTCAACCGGCGATCAAAGAGAAGGCCAAGAAACTTGACCGTATCACATTCTGGAATACATGAGCCATGTAAATACAGTGGAATATTTGAGACGAGGACATCTAGTGAAGGTAATGAAATGGGTTTTTGTACTAGAAAATTTAAATCCATGAGAAGTGGCCCAATGGGAAACCCAGTCATTCGCATCCTGATTATTATTATAATCAAGGGAGAAGCGCTAAACCCGGAGGATTATACAGCGCCTGGGGGGAGGGATGTGGAAGGCATTCAGGCTTAATTTGGGGAACTGGAGCACAGATCCAATTCCCTAAATCAAGAGCCCCTTACCAACATCAAGGAACCTTCCTTGAGGGGATTCGCATCCTGAAGGGAGGCCACTACCAGGCGACAGTCAACACCTGCGTAAGCTATTGCAAAGTCGTCCACATAGTGATGGCCAAATATGTGATAGAAGAACGGAAGGTAAGGCAT